TAGTTTGGGTGAGGCTAAGTTCTGTTTGGGTGCTTCTAGGTCTACCAGTGGTGAGATTATTCAAGTTTATATCAAAGTTTTTAAGGTCGATATGGTTACATATAGGCCTGTTACAGGTGTCTAGCGGGTGGTCACTTTGTGCACACTTAGTTGGGGGATTGGGTATATGTCTGGGTGAGTAGTCAAGATCTACGTCATCGGGCTGGCTATTGTAGGCAGTCGTAATTCGTGAGCCGCTACTTAAGATGGCCGATTGTAAAATTGTTGGGTGTTTGGAGTCAGCCGCACTGTCTAGATACTGCTCACAATATTCGGTGCTCTTTTTGGGACTGACAAATGATGTCGACTCTAACAGCATGTGACTGCTCTTATTTATATCGACAAGCGAGATGCAAGGTAGTGATATGTCTTGTCCAAGTAAAGGGTGCACGTTTAGTGTGGCTGAGGGAAGATCAGAGTAGGATGCAGACTGATCAGTGTGTTTATAAGGTTTCGCATTATTCACTTTAGTGACTGATTTAGATCTTTTGCAGGTGCTATAGGCATCTGGAGAGATTATATGTTTTTTAGATGGCCTGGACATTATTGGAAGTAATGTTAATTCAAAGTTTAATTAGGTGGATGGCGATAGCTGTAATTTAACTTAGTGAACGTGTAAAGTTTTATGGTAGGGTCAGACCCAGTATTAGTTAAGAGTAAATATATTACAGTTAATTGGTGATAGTGATAGCGTGAAAACTAGCAATATTAATTTATGAGGTTGAGTTCCTAAATAAGGTGTAAAGTTAATAGAACCCTATCAGTGACGAATTATTTATCGCTATCAAGTGTTAAATTAAAGAGAAAAACGGATAGGAAAATAAAATAATACCACGTGAAAAAAAGTTACAACCTTCAAAAGCGCGCCGTATTAGTATTTGAATATTTTCCCGATTGAGAGCTATGATCTTACCGATAAGCTGTTGGGTTGCCTTCAACAGTTCGGAAATAACAGTTAGTGAACTATGTACCTGTGACTCAACTTTTTGTCACAACTATCCGAATTGTATACCTATTGAGATTCGTTAGTCAGTGTTGTGGGCTTAGATTCTACGTCGTTAATCACGAGTTATCAGTCTAAAATAAAAGCAAAAGAAAAAACATCAGGTACTTGGATGACTTTTTAGTGTTCTGATTGGTAACAAACAGACGATTTGGAAGGGAAGACTGTTGGCATACACAGCGAATGTCTAGGCAAACTATAAATTATACGCTCAACGAGAATTAAATCATGTTGAAGAAAGGTAAACAATGAACAAACCAGAAAATAGCACTTCTTTGAGAAGTCAGTGACTGTAGATCCAAACAATACTGGAAGGTTTAAACCTCCTAAAATGAATTCTCCATGAGGCATAAATCAGGATTTTGTCACTGTAACATGGTAGTTGACGTATTGACTAAAGCGTCACACTTTAGCAAGTGACTGAAACTACATAGTTAAGGACAAATCTGAGCTTAATTTGTTTTCTCGGGTTTGCTGCCGCAGATCTTCATTTAGGCATCGAATGATTATCAATACTAGTATTTTAGACAATAAACAAACTAAGCTGACTCTATGTTGTTATCATCAGGAAGTTTACTCCCCTTTTTATAAGATTGAAAAATGATAGAAGTTTGTTTACCTACCAAACGTCAACTAATAATGAGTTATTATGGTTAGGGACCCACTCTTTAAGACAGTTAACATTGAATTATCAGGAACAAGTGATCTTCACTGCATAAAGTTGGCTATAGATTTTAAATTTCGTTAGTAGGTGGAGCTGATCACTTAAGACCTCTAGTCGTTTTATCTTGTCATAAGCAGAATCCTTATTCACGTAAATATTTAAATGATGTAAGTCTTGCTTATTCGTAGAGCATCATGATCAGTTAGAGGTTGGCAAACCATTGAAATATATAGCTGTATATAATCTATATATTCAAAAATGTACTACGATATTAAAGGTAGAGGAGTAATGAGGTTTTAAAAAAAAAGAGATAAGAACTCACATTATCAGACATTGCAACTTCATGAACTTCTAGGGAATCCTTTTGAAAATAATCAAGACTATGCTGAACGTCTGACTCAAGTATGTTTGAATGTAACAGAAACTTACAAGCGTTGTCACTTACCGACGACGGTGGGAGAGCTTCATAAAGAATTCGAAAATGCAGGTGATTTTGCCTTCTAACATTCATTCTTTTAAACTAAACATCCTATATAAAGCTCGAAAAGTACCTACATCTTGATAGCTGATATCCAGGTACCGTTTTAGAGAAAATCCCACACATACTACCGAGTAGCCAATACTAAGGGCGTTTAATCACACCAATTTCATCATACCTGTGTGCTGCAAATGGACGGAAAACATAAGTGCTGTGAGTGTATTTCGTCGCTTTTGAGTAGAGACTAAATTCAAAATATATGAAAACGAAACACAGCGACAAAGTGAGGAAACACAACCCTTGATCTGAAACTTTTATTATTCAGTTAGTCATCACACTAACCAGTATGCCGAAAAAGGTATAACCACACATACGCACTACCGAATGTGTAAATCCATGACACAGGGATCAAGAAGAAACACATTAGATCAACTGTAATCAAAACAATAATAAAGACAATTGTGTATTGCTGCATGTGAAATATGAACAGACATAATATTTACCAGTCCTTGGAACTTCAGTGAGTCATGTATCGAGCAAACAGATAGCCAAACAGGCCAAAAGTACTCAAACCTCATGTCCGTTGATTGATTTACTACAAACAGTACTCCCCATATTATGAATATCAGGAGGTATTGGACGTAACTGAGGATAGTTGGAAATGTTTTGAATACTTACGACAAAGATAGTAACTCGAATACCTTGCTTCGTTTACAGGAACGTTTCAGTCTGTTTAAGTCAACATTTTTACGACGAGTGGGCATAGCCACTTAAAGCAAACATCAGACGAAACTCAACAACCTGATTCGTGTACTCGATTGGCCCGCTCAGTAAACTGTTCTTATGGCGAAGGCATTGCAAAGAAAACTATGAAATAATTTCCTAGCTCTAAAGTCAACTTTCAACGTTCACAGTATTGCTAAATGTATACCGCAAAATACATCTTATTGAGCTTCCAGTTTGCAATAAAGTAATGGATTATTTTCAACTATTAGTTTAATGGTCTCAACACGACCTATCAACCAATCACAGTGAAGCGGAATTTATTACTTCTGTCACCTTTTTAGGCATGATAGGATGTGTGCTTTGTCCTGTATATTTTCGCTGGCATTTTATGCTACTAGAATAATTTGAGTTTCAATGTGACCAGTTTTCCATATGGGACTTTTCAAACGGTGGATTAAGATTAAGAGAGACGAGAGGCTAGGTTCCCTGTATTAGTCCTGGTGGATGAAGTCTTTCAGTTTTTACAACTTTTGTGCATATCGATAGATGGAAATTGAACCACGTGATGAGGTAGAGGGCTCCATGTACGTATAATTCAACGGTCAGCTAACATGCAATTGATTCTGCGCTTGCGAACTTTTACGAAATGTAAACCTTCTGTCATAGGGGAAAAGAAAGGCGATGGAATATTAGATCCCAAACATTTACCACGTAATTGATTTGAAGACAAAAAGAAAGTCTTCTCTGGTCCTTTTTAAAACGTGTGGATTAGTTTAAACAAACCCACCTCAAATAGAAGCACTACGATTACGAGGGTTAACCAGGTTGGGTTTCTTTTGACCTCTGTCAACCGCAAGCCTTGATTTTCGATCTAGGGTTGGCTGCGAGTATGCAATAATGAAGCATACACTGGAAAGAAACCTTCGATATACATGACTTTGCTAGCCTTCTACAATGGTGCTGACCTCATTGGTTTGAAGATGACACAAGTATTCGGAATTTGACAACACCTCAACCAGTAACGCCTTATATAGTCGAAACATGCCAGCCCAGTGAAATCAGAAGCCAGAAGCAACGACGTTCAAAGATATATTTGACATGCTCTCGAGATGTCGGAAAGTGATTAATCTACGATGGCTAGTGGTCGTAGGAGATGTGGAGCACAGCGTACCAAATCGTAATCTGGTGCGGTTATGATGACCATTCTTAAATGATGAAACTGAGATAGGAAATATTCCAACCTGAATCGAGCACACATTAGCTGTGTCTCACAAGGTCCGGTGCTTTACAGCGGCCAGATTTTTTCTTAGATTGTACTTTGTTATAACCACCCTATTTAACTGCCATTAAACATTCAGTTGTTAGATTTAATAAACGGAATATTCGTTCAGGAATTTCAAGACGGACGGAAGAGCTCAAAACAAAGCAAAAAATCTGTCACATACAACGACAAACATGGTTGAAATATACGCAAACCGCTGAACATTGAATATCTAGACTAATGGAACTTTCAGCTTGACATTTTAAACGCAGGTGAAGAATCCGAATTGATTCATTTTTCGGTTTAAAAAGTTGAAGACTCGTAACTTTTCTTAAGTGTATTTGAAACTTAACTAAAAAGATTCTACCGTGTCACATTACCATTATATTCTGCATAATTGTACCTGTAATTTGATTGTCTCGAACAGCAGAAAATTGGTTTTATAATTAAAACATTCTTTGTATATTTCAGTGTTTATCATTTTTAGTTGGAACTTGCACTACCGTAGAGTTACTGTACACAGTAAGAAGTTTGTTTTATTGTATGTTACCTTGACTTTTTTCGTAAATAACAAAGTGCGACTACTTTGTAACACGCGGTCTCATTTTTCTGATTTGTTTGCATATTACGCAAGATAGATAATCTTGCCAGGATACATTATCTGCTTCTTTCCCCGTATAGGGCCATCAATTCTGGCCATAATAAGTCCTTCTTTAGTTCCTGACCGAATTCTTATCATACACACTTCTCGGCATCTAAAATTACTAATAATGCAACTAATTTGAATCACCCAAAGTGCTTTTGTATCCCTTGTCGGGGATGTATAAACATGTCTCCGTGTTTTCCATTTGTTAGGCGTAAACGAAATAGTAACAAGTATGTGATTTTTTTAATATGCTGGGATGTGTATTCGTTTTAATATCATTTTTAGTAGTCGAGATAGGAATAAATTTGATTGATACTTTCTACACTTTATGCCTTTAATGAATTACAACTGTTTATTTGTATTTCTGAAAGGCTTATTTGTTGATAGAAGTGAATAAATGTTTACCACACATTCTATGTGACTGTTTACATTTTGCTAAAAAGCATACCTCTCATAATAATCACTGTTGAGCGAAATTAATGTACTTTTAAATTGCTGTATGTTATACTATCATTTTTCAAAACGAAGTTTTTTCACTGGTGTTTGAAGCTGTAGTAATTCTTCACTTTATCATGATGTTGAATTCTATAATCATGGTAATAAAACTTCAAAATCTCCGTATAAATGTCTCCCAATATGTAATAGGTATCTCAGAAGTTAATTCGTGAATCTGGTTACATATTCTAGATTTGAAACCTTTGTGTCTATTTACAGCGATTTAGTACGAAATATTGTGCCAATAAACTTAGTATATTGAAAGGAGTCTTATTTAACCTGCGTTTACAGTACTTTGTGTTACTGTTGTGCAAGGTTCCGGTCACCATTTGATGAGCAGAAATAAGGAATAGAAAGCCTATTCCATGATATTACACAAGTATTCTATCACTTAAGAGGTCAAAGGAAATACACAAGTAGATATGTCATCACTTGTCAAATCTTATTCAGCAATCATCTATCCAATTTAATTCTTACCCATAAACGCTTCTGGCGAGTATGTATCTAGAACTCACGAAATGTCTTTGTTATTGGGGACATATATTTGAAGGCATCCTTCACAAACTGACCTACGGTTTTTTGAACTTGAAGAGCTCGTGGGGACCTGTAAATGCTCATACTGTAGTATCTTGCGATAAAAATTATATTAATCATGTATTTCAAATGTGTACTGTGACACTTTTAAAAGCATAGGTTTTTAATGGCCATATATAAGGTTGCCATAATATGGCGATGCGATTACTCTGCCTCATAAATTGCTCATCTTTTTATATCGCTCCTCAGATCTTAAAATTACCACAAGACATGAAAATATGTGAATTGGTTGACATCAGTTATTTAGTATGCTTCAAGTAAATAAAAAATACAGCATTTATGCTACAAAGTAATTTTTATTGATTATTGTCAGATATTAGCGTTTTATCAACTGTTCTTTACTTGATTTCACAAACAGGGTCTCTGGTACACATTGGTTGGTGAAATTTTGACCCTAAATTCATTAGCTTTTTTGATTTTGTGGTTATTCTTTTCCATGTTTCTAATAGAGGTTTTACTCTGGTATTATTTCTGTCAGATCGGTCAAAATCATCTGAGAAGAAGTTTGTAATCTGTTTTTCCGTATAACTTAAAAACCTCCTCTACCACTTCGGGATTTGAATGGATAACCGCATCTCTGTGCTAATGTGGTATGGCAACTCGAACTGACGTACGTACGCACGAAGTTCTACGTTGTTACTGACTGACTGACAACTTAAAAACCTAGAGTTAGATTACAGGTTATGTACCTTATTCAATTATCAGGTTATTAAAATAACCAAGATTAGTGATCGCGGAAATACAAGGAGATATTTCTTATCGATAGTGGTTTGCAGAACGATATTGAAAAGTGCCAGTTCTGTGCGGCCAATATTCGTATGTGACGTTAAAGTATTTTAAACCTGGATTATCGAAATAAATAAATCGATAAATATGTCTTGTTTCTTTTGAAGATTCCTATAGTTAAAAAGTTTGGTACATTAATATTTAAATAGGTGCTTAACAACAGTAAATTAGTTTAAAGTCTTCAACCGATTAAATGGTATATCTGATCTTTAGGTGTTTTACGCGGTATTTTTTGGCTGACTGTATGACTAATGAATTCAGGAGATATTATAATATGCACTTTTATGGGGAAACCTCAGAGATAAGCGTTTTTACCCCTTTACATTAAAGTACACTTAGCCTTCGATTTTAAATCTCTCTGTGCTTATGTTTTCCAACACACACGAGTCTAGTGGTGATTTCCTTAACAATGGACATGAAGGAAAATGTCAGTCTTCTACTGTTATGGATTAGTGTCTGTGTGAACTATATTTTTAAATACAGAAGACTAAGTTGTTAGTTCATCAGTTTATAATCAAGCTTAACTAAAAAGGAAACTAGCGTAGTCCTAGTGGTTCACTCGTTTTACGTGTTTTGGTGCACAAATGACATCGCACACCGAATAATTATCCCCACATCAGTTGCTTATATCAAAGTTTTCCTTGAAATGTCAAGTTAGGTGGAGTTTGTAATACTTTGTAAAGTACATGTATGTACGGCTCCTGAATGTTTCACCGAGTCATTTCCAAAGGACGTTGGGTAACATGGCTCATAATCAGTTGCAATGGTACAGTCGCATTCGCTCTTTGTTTTCTGTTAGATCTTGATTTTTAGAATATTCCTGTACTGTTTCGAATCCCTGTAATTTATTTTTTCTTTCTTAGTCGAATTGTCCATGACTAATTTATTCCATTGCTGATACTGTTACTGCATCTACCAATCTAGGATTTTCCCTGATAGTGTTATCTCTCTGTGGTTATTCGGTGTGCCAACTTGAACTGATGCACATTTCGTGCCAAACTCTATGCTGCGTATAACCGAATAATTGATACTTCAGGTCATATGTTAGTTTGATACTTCCTTTCATAAAAGCACACACCGCATTTACATGGTGTCTGTGGTCTAATAAATACAAAGCTTTAAAAGTTGAGATAACCGGCTTTTCAAAATGGTTGGAAGTAAGTGTTTTTCAGTTTTGTGACTAAAAATTGAAAATGTGGTTTATTCAAACGTTGTGCTTGAATAATATTTTTTTACGATTAATTCCCCCTAACATTGTGCTGTAGTTATTCAGTTTGGCTCAACACTTTCGGTCAAATAACAATTAACCTTACCCATAAATCCTACTCTACGTTTTAAGGTTTCATCACAGCAAAAGAAAAATAACCTGTTTCTTAAAGAAATCAAAACGACTTTGCTTGCAAAATATAGTAAATCCACTGTATTTCGCTTCTTTTCCCTCAGCTGCACATATGGTAGTAGATTTAGTTACTTTGGAATGTCAACATACTTAAGGATTTAAGAAATGAATTGTTCATTTATTACTTTTAATATACAGTGTATCTATAAACTATTTCAATCTTATAACGATTTCTGAAGCCTGTAGCAATTCGAAGATATAATAATGACCTTCCGATTTAAAACGAGTCGGTGATTAACACTAAACTCTCTTGGCATCGAAAATATACTGTGCGAACAATTAGACTTTTCACTATTCAAAAATGATAAGTATTTGAGCGAACAATGATTTTCAATAACTTCATCATCAGGCTCTACAGTTATAAGTCCATCATTATAATATTTTACAAAGGTCAAAAATAAGCCATGTATTAATAAATTTGACAATGTTATGTGTTAAAAATGGTAAACGTTTGCATCTGTTACGATATATATATACTTCAAGATTGTATTATTTGACAAATTAGAAAGGTCATTCAATAAAGGTCAGGATGATTTGGAGTAAAGTGTTTAGTCACAATAAGTATAATAGTATTATAGCAAAAACGAAAATGCAAAAAATTGTATGAATAAAATGCATAGTAGGAGAAATTCATCTTGTCAATTGAGATAATAATATTGTTGTGTGAATATAATATGTAATAAGGAGGGTGTTATCAAGGTAATTATGATCAACGAATTGGGAATGATGGATGTGAAGAATAAAATAGAGGTAATCAAAAAATAATAATAAGGAAAAAAAGAGACTGGATATACCTTTTCTGGGTACATAAATTAGGCCTTCTGGAGTTGATCCAGATGGCTTCGGCTATGTAAAGCAGTCGTAATCTGGCTCCTTGAGGTAGATATTTTGGAACTTGATATAAAACAGAGAAAGCTTCGTCTATTTTGATATGATGTTCACTATCTACCAAGTGAGAAAGAATGGTGCTGTTAATCGATTTGGTAACCCCTTTTCCTAACCAAGCTGGTACATGTTCACGAACACGCAAGGATGAAGCCCTCTGAGTTCGGCCTATGTAACTAGCTCCACAGGAGCAGTTGAATTGGTATACACACATGGAGAAGCCTATCTTCGGTAACTTATCATTGATTAGTTGTGTGAGTACTGGTTTAGTCTAGAAAATTATGTGTAACTTGGCGATATGAAACGTCCTTTCGACAGATCTTTTGAGTCGACGTGTTAGAATATCACTCGCTATGTCCCCTTTAAAGTCAAGTCTCAGATGTAAGGTCTTTTAACTGACTGTGTCGCGATGTCTTCTTTTTTTATTAGTATTTTGTACGAGATATTTTTTGACGAAATTATCAGGATAGCCATTATTTCGTAATGTGTTCCTTAGTATATCTATTTCGTCATTCACACTGTCTTCAGAACATAATAACTTGGTTCTGTGGTTGAGACACTTGACCAAATTTATTTTATATTGAAGAGGTATGAAGCTTTGGAAATGGGTATACTGACCCGTCCATGTACTCCTTCTAAATATATTTCACTTTATGGAACCATCTATCCCTCTAGAAAGTAGGACATCCAGAAAAGCTATACTATTGTTTTTCTCCTCCTCGCTGGTGAATTGAATGGCTGGGTGGACTATTGAAAGTGTCTAACATCTCCTGTTTGTCGACACTTTCGTCACATATGATTAGTGTGCCATCTATGTATCGACAATAATAATCAAACTTACTTAGAATGTCTTTAAGCGGTCCATTTCCTAGTTTGGTCAGAAAAATATTAGCAAGGATCGGACCAAGAGGTGATCCCATTGCTACCCCATCATATCAAAATAGACGAAGCTTTCTCTGTTTTATATCAAGTTCCAAAATATCTACCTCAAGGAGCCAGATTACGACTGCTTTACATAGCCGAAGCCATCTGGATCAACTCCAGAAGGCCTAATTTATGTACCCAGAAAAGGTATATCCAGTCTCTTTTTTTCCTTATTATTATTTTTTGATTACCTCTATTTTATTCTTCACATCCATCATTCCCAATTCGTTGATCATAATTACCTTGATAACACCCTCCTTATTACATATTATATTCACACAACGATATTATTATCTCAATTGACAAGATGAATTTCTCCTACTATGCATTTTATTCATACAATTTTTTGCATTTTCGTTTTTGCTATAATACTATTATACTTATTGTGACTAAACACTTTACTCCAAATCATCCTGACCTTTATTGAATGACCTTTCTAATTTGTCAAATAATACAATCTTGAAGTATATATATATCGTAACAGATGCAAACGTTTACCATTGTTAACACATAACATTGTCAAATTTATTAATACATGGCTTATTTTTGACCTTTGTAAAATATTATAATGATGGACTTATAACTGTAGAGCCTGATGATGAATTTATTGAAAATCATTGTTCGCTCAAATATTAATCACTATTCATTTAATCATGAGTAAAATTTGATGGGTGTAACTCAAGATGGTTGTTTCATTCTCACCTTTAACATGTTTTCAATAAATATCAGTCGTACTGAATAGTAATCCTATATTCTACAATATTGTAGATCTATCACATCAATCATAAAGTCTATCAAGCTTCAAGTTTAACTTTATCACAAAATTTACCCTTTGAAATATACTTACCGTTGACAGATAAATCATTTCTTCACTTTCTGAGAATGTTGAATTTTAAAATAATAAAACGTGTTAGCTTAAAATGGTGTTCTTACAGTTCACCAAGATGGATCAGTGGTTTGATGTTCCATTGGCTCAATCGCTTAATTGAGAAGCTCTCATTTTTGTTAATGTTTTAAATAGTTAAACTTATCGGTTTATATGCATTTGAAGAATGAGTAACAAAACAAAACTCTTGCCATGTTTTGAGAATGATATCATTCTTAGTTAATTTAGATTTATAGAAGCAACCAATTGTTATTCATTTAATTCTGTAATAAATCCTTTTTTGAAATAGAAAAAACAATTCAAAGTATAGTTATAAGACTTTCTAGAAGAATAGACTTCTCGCACTAGTGATGTTTTCCATTTATCAATCAAGCAACCCTCTTTATTAACTCAAAGAATTGTCACTTTATATGTAGTTAGGGTCTTTTTTGATTAATACGTGTAACAATACATATTTATTTCCATCAATGATACACCGGAAATGGAAAGACACGCTTATCAATAAGCTTCATGAACACAGATAGTGTATTAAGCGAGGTAGACATCCAGAATTCTGAAATACTGATAATTTAGATTGTGATATTCATCGTTTACTGATGAAAACAGTAATTACTAACTCAGTCATGAACATAAGTAACGTTATATTTATGGAATGACTGCAGTCGTTCACAGTATATTACTAGTGAGTTGTAGCGTACAGCTATTTTGTTCGTCATTTTTATTCACAGTGCTAGGAAATTCGCGCAGCCAAGTTTTCCAAGTTATTTAGACAGTTGAATGAGTTCTGCTTTGAACGTTATTTCCTAAAATACAAGTATGCTTTCAGATTAGCTCACTTCTGGTCAGTTTTATTCATAATCTGCTCTCTTCTGGTGCGGTGTCTTTCTACAGTTATGTATATGCTAAAATATTGTTATCACAGAAAAATAATGATGTTGATTGCGATCGATCGATTAAGTTAATGTGGTCTCGGGAAGACCACTTACAGATGACTATCCAGCAAAGATGAATCGTTTTATATGGCAAAAAAGAATAATCTATATACAAAAAACATAATTAAAGCCTTTGTTAAATGTCATATATGGTTTTATATATATGTTGGTAGTGAACCTTGCTTGTATTCAATTTTTTATTAAACAACAACTTCAGTGCGTGTTCCAAGGATAAACACTGAAGGTATTCCATTCAATTGGTTCCCTTTATGAATTTGAATAGAGCAAGAACAAACATTGATGCAAAATAGTATGAATTCATATTATTTCGAGGTTTCTCGTCAGCTGCTTACAAACCAAAATTGTGATAGAATTTTTTTTTACATGGAGATAGTGTGAAAACAATTGACATAAATGAGTGTAAATAACTGGATTACAATAATAACTATATATATATATATATGCTAGAAACAGGTCAGAGGTCAAAAGAGGGGGGTTAATCCAGGGTGGGTGGTGTAATAATTTAGTGAAGTTCATAAATTGTGTGATAATTGTAGAGATTAATGAAATTAAATAATGATAAGGTAGATTACGTAATAATAATTAAATAGAATTTGCAAAGTTAAGATAATTTAAGAGGATCAGGTGGTGGAAATGTGTAAATAAAATTTATTTTAAAAATTAGGTATTAGAGGAGAGTATAAAATATATTAGAATAAGTAAATGAAAAAATAACCAAAACACAAAACAAACAGAAACAAAAAGATTACCAGGGTAGTGATAAGTTTATTAAAGTCTCTTTTTGAATGCATAAATCCGGTTTCAGTTTCTTAATCGCAATCGCTTCAGCAAAGCGGAGAGTGGTAGTACTTTTTTGTCTATTGATAATTTTAAACGCGTGCAGAATATCGACGGTATGCCCGGTGTCAAGTAGATGCCGAACTATTGCACTGTTAAAAGCTTTGGTCCCTCGCAGCGTCAAGTTCTTCGGAATATGCTCAGAAATGCGAACCTGTACTCTTCTCTCAGTTCTTCCAATGTATGTGCTACGGCACGTACATGTGAATTGGTAAATGCAATTGAAGATCGACAAGTCCTCTCCCCTCAGTTGCTCCAACTGTGCTGTAGTAACTCCTATTACAACCCTTCAATATATTTTTGTCACCATAAGTCTGACCATTAAATTTGTCGTTATTAATAGTGTTATTTTTGCAGGCGTAATTTATTTTTATATATTGTACCCCTTCCAGATTCATGCATTCTTGTCAGTATGTATGTCTACATATTTTATTTGTAGTTCACCAATTAGTAAATTGTCTACTAATACATACCTATTATTATCATAGTGGGTGATGGCTAGATATTAGTAACATCCCATTTACCAAGATATTTCATACTATAATCCGTTAGAGCTTTGATAATAGTTCGATTTTTTTAAATTCTGAATATAGGGAAATATTCCTTGCCATTCTGGGATTGGATAATTCTGGAAAGACAACAATATCTCTCAGCATAAAGGGTGGTATGTTGTGATCACGTTTCCAAAATTTTTATTTACATTCATACCTAAGTCTCCAGTGACTTAGTTGCTCCAACTATCGGCTTTGATCGTATTGAATTTGCTATCGACAGCTTTAATATCAACCTTTATGATTTGGGTGGTGGTCGTACAATACGTGATATTTGGGAAACATATTTTGCTGAAGTCTATGGTGTTATATTCGTGGTTGATTCAAGTACGCCAGAGAGATTAGAAGAATGTCACGAAGCATTAGTCAATGTTCTTTCCCATCCTTGTATATCCGGTAAACCGATTCTTTTGTAAGTTGTGAGATGGTTACACAAGGTAACGGGTTGTGCTTATCACTTTAGACTAGCAAACAAGCGAGATATTAAAGGTGCGTTAGATGAGTCGGAGCTGATAGCAGCACTCCAGCTGGATGATCTTGTCAATGAATATAAATGCCCTTGTCGCTTGGTAAGCTATAATTGACTGGTTTATATTTGGTCATTTTATGTAGATGTAAATCTTATTACTAATTTACTTCTGACTTCATGGAAAAACCAGGCTTGATGTTATGTTGGGAATCGTGTGGTCGCCCAGTTATTAAAAGAGAGCAGTTGTATTACCTAGTCCGACCATTGATTATTCCTCCTAGATTGCTTACGTAGTACCGAAGACCTGCTAACCAATGAAACGATGATAGCTCGATAGCTGAGGTCAATACTTAACGACTATTGGTTCAGAACGCAGTTCTCCCGTACTCTCTTGTCCAATAGCCAGAATAGAACACAATATAGCATGTAGATAACTTCTAAACACATAGCTCAAATTTATGACTCATACGACCACACAAAAAATCGTGACCACGTTCAACGTAATTAAGGAATTGTAATGCAGACCTAACTACACGACAAGTGGACGAGACCTGGGTAATAGATTGGTGGTGAATTAGCAGTAACCTAAGAAAGTTTGGACATCCAATAGTAATTCTTGGGTTAACGAAGGCCTACAAGTAGAAAAACATAAAGAAGGAACAATTCAAGTGTTTAGTAATTGTGCAACAAATATATAAACTTCAGGTAGGACTATTCCAAAGGTTCACCTCTCCTTTATGCTTACCCCGTTACAACTACTTGGTGACTTTGGCCAGAAAGAATGTTATCAGTTACTCTAACAACCGGAATATATGTACATACATACATATGGACCTAATAAACGCAAGTGCCTCCTAATGATTCACATTGAATGTGACATGGTAAACTCCTTTTTTCCATGACACTCATTCCATTGGTCCCTATAAATCCTCTGATAACGTTAAGCGTTCACGCGCTAAACCTAGGTTCCTGAGTTTCATTCCTGGTCGCGTGGTTGTGATCTCACACTTTTGGGGAGTCTCGTAACAGAACGAAGAGGGCTTTCAATACTTCCAGGTGTTCAATGACTCTCTAACTTAGATCAGTTCGTAATCTCAATAAAATAAACATAGAAAAGTCTTTTGAACTCCGAACCTCATCAAGTTTCTTTATATATTCAACAGGTTGACATTGTTCGACGGACCTCGTCAGAAATGTGAACATGAAACCCCAGAAAATTAATTTGTCTTTATCTTTCTATAGGTATAAAACTTAAGTTGTTAATGATCAGCAACAGGGGACCATAATTTATATTCAATGTACAGACAGCCAGATCTCTGTATGGACACCAGAGTGTAAAACTTTCCATGCACGTAACGCTTTTTGATATTCACTCCCACATGATGATCTGGGTTGCTTAACTTGAATGTTTTTACTTTTAGGAGCATTGTTGTGCTTTATTACTACCTAATCAAAAGTTGGATAAAGCGATTCGTGACGGTTTGAAATGGCTTCTTGCTTATATTCAGTCAGATTTGATAAATATTCAATCACGGGTTGGTGCTGATGTAGATAAACAAATAAGACAACAAACAGAAGAACGCGCAGCTAGAAAAGAAAGAGTTCGATTAGCTAGAGAGGAGAGAGAACGTTTGAGAAAACTGTCTAATCAACACATCAACAATACGTTCACAGCAGGTAGCCTAGACGATCTAGGTGAAAATTCAAATGAATTAATCAACCAACAATTAACAATAAAAACCGATAATACATGTACGGTTTCCAACATTTTTGAAAATAACGTAAGTTTCTCCTAAAGTTCGTTACTACTCAGTTGATTATTTTGTTTACAATGTACAAGATATAGTTCAGTTCCGAAATTAAATTTTAAGGTAAAGTTCATACGTTATAATACTAATTTACATCAATATGCAATTGCATCATCGTAAATACTCGCTATTTAAAATCCTTCCCCTTAAGCTATCCATAATGTATCTAACTAATACAAAATGATTTTTTACGGTATTAGGAAAATACACAATACAATAGAAGTTCATGAGATTCAGTCAACACAGAAAATGCTGATGTTTAGCTTAAGGCATGCCTTATTAGTGTATATTTATACCAATCTTTGGTAGTAATCTTTGTTCTCTTCATCATCTACGGAATCTTTTGATATATTTATTTTTCTATTGCCAAAGTCGATCCGTTAAGTGTAACGCAATAGTTTCACAGATCTGTACTCGGCAGAAAAATGTAAACAATATAAACCAGTCTTAAGTCATGAGAATACTCAAACCATTGCTCTACCCTTGTGATATGGCTACTTGTACTTAAGCTTCTCGAGACTTAAACCCTCGTTTAAGTAGATATATTCCTGAAAAACGTGCATATATTGTTTTCGGAAAACAAATTTATTTAATACTAAAGTTAGTAAAGCAGATAGTGTTCCGATAATTTGCAGGATTTTTAACTTGATTCATCATTCTTGAATTATATCTGCTTAAGATAGATCAATAGAATTCTTTTCAAGTGTCATAGTTCAAGGTCTGTATATTAGTACTCACAAACTTCCCTGTATGATATGATGGTATGTTAACGTTTTACACTATTAAAGAACATGAATCGGAGTTGGTCACTAACTTGCTTCGTGAACGGTTTACAATCCGTTTGCAGTCCAAGTAAACTTTTTCTAAATTTTTGATTGAGATCATGAAACGATTGATGTTAGACCACCTTTGGAAATCTGGAAGCACTGGACGGCCGTTTCGTCCTATTGTGGGACTCCTCAGCAGTGCGCATCCACGATCCCGCTCGCGGGATTCGAACGCAGGGCCTTCGGTCTCGCGCGCGAACGCTTAACCTACTGGACCACTGAGCCGGCATCCAATGGTGATATTGTCTAACATCAACCAATCCACGAAATTGCACGACCGACTTCCATTGTACTGAGGTAGATACCTGTCTCTATCCGACATGGATTAGTTCTACTGATCACGGCTTCTCACTAGAACTCCGAGAATTCCCTTACGAAGCTAGTCACTAGTGAGCACATGTTGACTACTAGTATAGGGGTTGTGGAGATTATTAGGTTTTTGATTGAGATCATTCCATAATTTCTAAACCATTTTAGTTTTATCACTCGAATTTCTCTAATAAACTAGTCTGGCAAGAATAAAAAAATTAGGGTTCAAGCAAACTGTCCGAGCTCTCTACTAGTAAGCGATTAAGCGTTCTCCATCAATCTAGTATGATTAGTGAAAATCAGCAATAAATCTGAGTTAAGACTATCCACCATTCTAAGATCTGCTAGTTAGTAACGCTTTCTAATCACAACCCGTTTTGAAAACTAGTAGAAAGTAAAATAAGTAAGAGGTATAACTGAGTTATGGTAAATATTAACAAAGATCTTTCGATTTGTAAATAATTCACAAGTGATTACCCAATTTATAACTAAATTTTTAAAAGATCTTTTTATGAATAATTAGGGATATCTCAATTTAATTATCCAAGCTGAATTTAAAACGATATTAATGAAAATCATATGTAGAATGAAAAGCTAAATCTCGAGTTTTGACTTCCTTTATGACTTAAATTTTCGAGTTGTTTAATTACTCAGTATTAAAAGAAATAAACCATTCTATCACTCGACTCTTAAATTTACTTCAACGGTAGAACCTAAAAATATTTTCAAAGCGACCAACTACGAAACGGATGCAAGAATAAATAGGTCAGTTTTTAACAGCAATTAAATGGATTACCTGAAATTCACAAAACTGATATATCTTTACATTCAATTTTATCAGTGTGTTGGTCACCTATACATAATATCACAAAATATTTATTTCAGTTGATCTATTAATTATGTGACATTAATATAAAGGAAAAGACAAAGCATCCTTCCTATTTGAATGTGTTTTTAAAAGTGTACCACTGAGAAAGATCGTTAATATCCTATGTGACCAGTATCTAATTGAATAATTTTCCATTCCTTATTCTCTAACAATCCCCAAAGATTTATTAGTTGAAGTTGAATACTATCGACAGATTGGTAATGTTACTATAACTCGACCTTTTGAACCACTACTTGCTGATCTCTTTATGCCATATGTTAAAGATTTCTCAGAAGAATTACTTGGAAAAGTAAACCTTAATAAGAGCGGTAAATTGATAACGTTGTAGTAGCTTGCGAAAAAATTGGTAGTAATTGTTTATCAGGGAAACTCAACAATAAAAAGTCACTTTAGTCTTTCATGCAAAGAGGAGGGCGACAGCTAGTTTTCTTTCTTAAATATACTTGTTAGTTCATAAGATGATTCAAATGATCTATATATTGAAAGCCTTTATAAATGAGGTTTGATAAAAGGCCTATTCAATAGGACTAGCCTTATCTCTGCCATTTGATACGTGGTGAAGCTGCTATACGAAACTTTGATCCAACCTGACGGCAGTTGCTACCTTGACGTGGTGTTCGGGCTTGTCTGTCATGATGGCTCAACCGAGTTTTATTGACTGGGACATATGTTCCTTTAGGCCCTAACATGCCAGGCAGGTCGGTTGGAGACCGGTAAGACTTAAAGCTGCAACTTACGGTTCGTAGGGTGAAGTCGTACTGGTGACTGCAGGGGGTTATGATAGCAGTAAGGTGTTTCCCTCGGACAACTATCATCTGCAGAGATGGTGCCCTCTCACAACGGATGGAAGTGGTTATAAGAGGTCGACCATGAGAATTTCACACCTCACCTTACCACACAGATTACCATTTCCGTGAGTAAATCTTTTTGAAGTGTGAAGCTAACGCATCAAAAACTTTCCATATAAAGGTAGTGCGTGACTGACCTGAGGCAGTTTTACCTTTGACTCTTCAGTCACGTTCCACCACTAACCCCGGCTTCTTTCTTCGGTCCCTCAGAGAGAAATGTCCTCCCACAGTGTGAGCAGCTGCAAACTGGGAACTGCTCTAACGCCTCTAACAGTGCGGAATATAATTTTGTTCATAATCGAATCCCTTCCTCGCCTAATGATAATCCTCCTGCCCCCAAGACTAACCCTTCCCTCAAAACTTTATTACAACGTGCCACCAATGCTAATGATTTGAGTTCACAAAATATTATTCCTGGTCTCCCGAAACCATGCACCAATCAACAATGCCAGAATGTTTGGAATGCGCTTCTCTCCCTCTAAGTGCAAATTGTTGCTTCAGGACTGGTCTACGTCAACACCTGAACTAAGGATAGGGAGTGAAGTAGTCGAACGCGTTGACAACTTCACTTTTCTTGGAAGTCTGATCAGCCCGAATGGGTTTGTATCTGACGAAATCTCAGCACATATTCAAAAAGCTCATTTGGCTTTTGCCAACTTACGTCACCTATAGCGAAGGCAAGATGTCCGTCTATCAACAAAAGGACGAGTATACTGCTTTACTTTACGGCAGCGAAACATGCCCATTAAGAGTAGAAGATACTCGTAAGCTACTAGTATTTGACCACAGATGCCTTTAAAAATATTTCTGGCATTTGCTGGGATCACCGGGTAAGTAATAATGAGGTCCGACGCAGGGTATTAGGGAATGATGGTAAATCAGTTGATGAGGTTGTGAATCTTCATCGACTGAGATGGTTGGTCCACGTGTTGCGTTTGCCTGAACACCAATTGCCACGACGTGCAATGCTAACCGGTGTTGGAGATGGTTGGAAGAAAGTTGGGGGTGACCAAACCCAAACATGGCAACAGTGCTTGAGGTCACCAACGTTTAGTCTGAGCCATGTTGGTAGATACAGACCACTCGATTGGGGCCCGCGTGACTATCGTAACCAATGGTTGGAGACTCTTGGTGACATGGTTCAGAATCGACCACAATGGCGTAGGTGTATACACTCTCTGTCTTCCCTTAAACTAAGAGATTAAAATCACTTCATATCTTTCTTTCTATGAACTAATTCTTTCTTCCTGTACTATATCCTTATATGCAGTCTTTCTTTTATATATTATCCGGTGTTCATCTTGCTGTGTTAATGCGGTATGGCAACTTGGATCGATGCATATGTGCACCAGGTCCTTCGTTGTAGCTGACTGACTGAACTTTGTGTCAGATCAGACAACACTCTGCCTTAGCTAGGACTGTAGAATCTCGCATCACTGATGTATGTCGCATCTTCGAAGCGCTCGTGCAGGATCCAAACGCAGTCGTTCATTTGGCTCTACCTTGCCAAAATGAACAAACGGCTCGATTTACCCTTTACGTATCGGAGACTCTACTGATACTTTCCACGGCCTCGCTGGTGTAGGTATAGAATTAAGTTGAAAGGCGGACTAGGACAGGAAAATCTCTAAAAAATATTGATACATCCTGTTGCTTGTTCGTTGTCTTCATTTATGCTCCTGCTGTTGCAGCTCGGATGAAGTAAAAGATGAATTTTATGGGAAGCTATCCAGCCTCCTTTAAAAAGCTAAATGCTCCGATGTATTAATAGTGGTGAGTAGACTAAACCAGACCGAAAGGCACTTAGAGGCGCGATATCCATCCGCCAACCAAAGGACGAGTTTACTAAGCAGCATTTCACTCTGTTCTACTTTATAGGTGTGAAACATGGTCATGGTCAGAATAGAGGATATTCGTAGGTTACTAGTATTTGTTCACAAATATCTTCGAAGCATTGTTTTTATATTATGGGATCACGGAGTAAGCAGTCTCACGGTTAGGAATAGGGTAATAAGTAAGAATGAGGTAGTAAATCTCTATCAACTGGGGTGGTTGGGACGTATGTTACTTATGTCCAACCACTGTCTACCTCGACGTGTAGTCTGGAAAAAATGTAGGAGCGTCCAAACCAATATGCAAACTGCATCACGAGCCAAGCCCCAACTTGGAATCCTGAAGGAAAGTGAAAAATAAGAAGGATATGGAACACATTACGTCGGGAAATATAAGCGGATGAATAACAACTAAAAAGAACTGGAAAGGATTTCCCAAGACAGCGTCGAATGGAGAGTGCTGGTGGGCAGCTTATGCTCCTCCACGAGGAGTAACAGGCGTAAGTAAGTAAACCAAGATGTGGCATCAGTCCGTGAAAACATTGACAACTTTACTAAGCCATGTTGATAGGTATAGACTACTTGGTTGGGGCCCGTTTTGATTATCGTAGACAATGATTATAGACTGAGTGAAATGGCTCAAAATCTTTTGTAATAGCATAGATGTACCCCTTCGTTCGAATCTTCTGAATGCTCTATAACATTTGAGTTTTTATTTCACTAATCTATATTTTCCTGAATCATATCTTCGATGACCAATTTTTTCCCATTATCGCTCATACTGTTACTTCCTCTATCATTTTAGGATTTGGTCTGATAATTTCATCCCTTGGTGCTAATGGGGTCTGGCAAATTGAACTGATATACATAATAGGCTGTACGTTGTTTCTGACTGACACAGAACAGATATCTATCGAAATCTACAAATTAATGGAAACAACATAGTATGTTAGAACCTACTATCAATTTAGTAAATAAAGGGTTCATCTGCGTCACCTTAGCATTCAGGGTTAAGCCAGATAGTTTTGTTGAACAGAAAACTTGAATTGATTGTCAGTACAACGTATTATCGCAATTATAAAAAAATGACGTGCATGCTTCACTAATACCCTAATCAGCATGTAAAAGTTTGCGTCATATTTTAATGCGTATATATATAGGAAAGAGTATTTGTGACTTGGATGTTGATATGGCTGAATATTTAGCAGAATGACTGTAGAGGCAAATTAAGTTAAATTATTTAATGCAAGGGGATAACAAACCCTCATCCTCCTGTATGGTGTAAACATCGCTTTCAATCCAAAAATCTTTCATCAACTTAGAACTGATTATCTGTAATAAGGGTTGCAAGAAAACATAATGAATCATTACTGAATATTTACTGTCAGGGTTGATTTCTGATGTACAGTTTTTCTTTCTATAAACCGAAAATCTTCAATAGCATCCGGTAACTATAGAAGTTTGTTTGTAATTACCTTTACATTGCCTAAAGCCAGCAAACATGCAACTATCTTCAACAGGTATTTTTGGACTGGATAAGAAGGAGTTTTAACAAATAATTAATATCTACAAAAATGTCAAGTTACGTGGAGAAGATACAGAACCTGTAGATGATATTTTATGTGAACCAAAACCTTCCCGGATAAGCAAAATAGAAACAAGAGACTCAACAAAATTAGTCAGAATTGGCAATGTCGCTATGTCGGCTAATCTCATCATATATTAGTTCAAACGAGTTACTGAAATAAACGTCAATCTAAATGTCGAGTGAAAATAATCCTGTGTTACTTTCACAAATTAATACATTCCCAACACAGAAATTCCAATCAACCTGGAAATAATTCATTTCTTTTAAAACTGATTGCTGACGAATCCGTGTAGTCTATTAATTGAATACCAAGTTCCAGAGAAAACTGTGAAGATTACTGTGGTAATGTTTACATGATAGATTTGTGCAAATCCATTGGCTCAGCGTTCTAGAAATTGCTATTTACATTTTGATGAATAAAAACTGACTTTGTGTATTTATTTTACGCCTTATTATGAGTTTACAGGAAAATTTACCACTTTGTCGTGGCTACGAATTTGATCTGAAAGCTGCCTCTGTTTCTTTTGGTTTCTTTATCCGTTGATCTTAAATTTAGCATTTATATGAGTACTTTGTTTGAGCATAATTCTTCTGGAAGTTACTAGTCTACTTTCTCACTACACAGCATTGTTTGACTAATGGCCGCGTTACATAAATTTTTTGTATGCAAGATATCTTTTCTGCTGAACTAATTAAATTAGAGAGCAGTATTTAGACACAGGGCACAACTATATATCTTTTGTATACGCTTATCAAGAAACTCTGTTACGTGAAATTAGATTATTGTTTTTGATTATTATTCAGCATACTAAAATTCATTAGTAATACCGGGGAATCTACTATTTTTGATAAATAGGACAAAGCCCGGAAGACTTAGCTGTTTTATCGGATGATATAAAAAATTTCTTCCACAATATACTTATCTTTTAGTTGTTTATCAAGAATCTTAGAGATCCATGTTTGAAAGTGAACTAAAGCTAGTGGTAGATTCGAAGACGATAAATTCATATTTTGTTATGTGGATAGATATGGGTCCTAGAAAGCTACAGCTGTAACCTTTTATATTTTTTGATACATATCAATCAGGGTCAGATACTACCTCGTAAGCATTCACACTTCTTTATGAGAAATGGTTTAAACTCTATTATTGAGAGTGAGACCACTAATCATTTGGAGAAATCATAGTGAAGCTTCCGGTGTCCAGTCAAGCAAATGATTAAGCAAATCAAGTACTACAAAAGCTACAAATATGTAGTTGTGAAACCTACACGCTTTGTATAACCATATGCTTTTCCAGGTTGATTTGAAATTTATAATTACAGAAAGTTTTGCTATATTGTCACCTCAAAGATGAAAAATATTTTGTGAAGGTAATGAACCGTTAATTGGTTATTACTCACCCAATGGTTAACATGCATCAGCTGGATTTAATTTTATTTTCCGTGTTTTTTTCTGGTAAAAAAAGACTCAGTGAACCTGACCTTTATAAAAGCATTATTTCCGTTTATGGTTAACATTGCGATGCAATCATTTTACATTGTTCCCGCTTATGTTAAACCCAACAGTTGAGTAAACACCTGAAATAGTCTATAAGGATTTACTCAGTAGCGCAGATACGATTTAAGAATCTATTTCTGCTTTTTATCATATTTACTTAAGTGTTTTGTGGCAGCATCTGTCTGATTTCGAAGATGGTTTTCGTCACTAATTGATAAAGGCTGGAGAATCATTTATTTTGAAAGAGATCATTGAACAGCTGTTTTATTCTAGTTTAGATCGCCACAGGAGTCCATACCCCAGAATACATAAGAGATAGAACACAAGACTCATGGCAAGGTCAATATCATTCAGCCTCCGATTCGAAACACAATCCACAGTTTTCTATTTCAGTCAGTTTATAATGTTCGGTGGTTTGAAACTAACTTTGCTTGTCAATTGTTGTCTTGCTGAAACGGAGAAATCCATTTCAAAGTCGGTCATATGTATGATATTATCAGTACGGGTACTTTGTGGTGATTAATAAATGTTCTTTGGTGTTACGAATCGACTTAATCTAGACATCTATTTAGTCTGAGACGTCTGTGAGATTTGCAATTCTAACAACATATCTAACAAACGATATTTCTTTAAACATTTTCATTTGTTTACCTTTCACAATAGTGACTCGGATTAGAATTGAAACAAAGAAATTTAATATTCACTGTAATCTGGGATTTCCTAGTAAAACAGAAGGTTTGTCCCAGACGTTGTGATTTATCGACTTAAATCTGATGAGCTATCAATCCACCTTATGAATCCATTCAAGGTTAATTATTTGATGACATGCACTAGGAAAAAGGAATAATTTCATTGTAATAATAGCATTTTCTGGAAACCTATGTAAAACCTTATTGTTTCATTCTACTTGCAGTTGTGTAGTGACAGTCCTAAATATAAAGAACCTACTAATTTACCAGATCTTAACCAATATAATGATATTCAGTCTATGCAGATCAATCCATTAGTATCTCATGAGAAAAATAATTTGGTATGTTCACAACTGAATTCACGTGATCTATTGCATCAAATAAAGTTAGCCTGTAGTATTGATCTGGAATTCCAAAATAAAAAATTGAGTTTGGATAGCTACCGTGGTTTTGATAAAGAGGGCTTATTCATTGAATTAGAAAGAGAGCTGCATATTAGTGTTGATGATTCAAAAGAAAATGATAGTACCCGTACTATAATTGAAAAACATGATGAAGTATCAAAACAGTTTTCATTGTCTCCTTCGGTATCAAATGGTCATAAGAAAGACGTGAAATTACAACCTGAATTCATGCAAATGAATATGTCGAAGAGCAAACTCCAATGTGATAAAGATTATTCGATTCCTCAAACAGCGAATGGTAGTGCCCGTTGTGTTAATAGAACACCAACTGTGGTCCATTCGTTATATGAGAAAAATAGTTCGTCAGTTAAAAAATCTGTTCACCAAGTAAGTACATTTATTTTATTATTGAATACTTCGAGATTATTTTTGCTAGTCATAGTCCGGAAGGTGATATTTCTGGGTTTGTTTGGTTATCGACTAGCGCTCATCAGCAAAGAAACAGTCATGAATGTGTATTGGTCCAGATTTTCACACAATGAAAGGAAATCGGCAAGATAACATGTAGATGGAATTGATTTATGCTGAAATAGAACCCTAAACATGAGAGATAAATTTTAGACAAAAGAAATGAGATCGAATAGCTATAAATAATGCCTGACGATTTAAAAAGAGAAGAAGAATCCATGCGACCGCTCTATTTCAACCTAACATCTATAGGTATCAGATGGGGCCAAACCAGTAAACATGGATCATCTGATGTCATAGTGACCAACATGTGTTGAGTGCACCTGATCACTACCTACTTCAACATGCGATGTTTAGTGAGGCAGAAGTAGTAGGTTTGAATAAAAATTGAGGAAATAAAACCAAGTGACATTATCCCATGAATTTACTAACCACTAGTTTTCACTATGTCGATATATTCAAACTACCTGTTAGGGGTCTACACTATTATCATGATCAGTAGTTGAAGACGTTGAGTGACGTGGCTTAGAATCGGCCATAGTGTAGCAGATATACATACTCTTTCTATTCCTGTAGGTCAGGAGTTTTAATATTCCTTTCTACCTTTTCGTCCCACGCTTTCGAACAGTGTTTAGTCTTTTCCACTGTCATTGCTATTATGATTATTTCGACTCCTCTACTATTCATCTTCTTAATCTCATCTCGTCGTCGTGATGTGGTGTAAGATTTTCGGTTACCCCACATTTATGCCAGGCTCTACATTGATCTTGACTAACTGACTGAGTTGGTGTTATATCTCAATCTATTTATGCTTACTTATTTTCCAACCTACTCTTACACCAACCAGCATCGTATATCTTCGTAGGCGGTAACTAAACTTGAGCAACGTATTCCTTAACCACATCAGTTGATGGTTTTTTATATTCTCATCAATCAATGTTCAACTAAACACCTGGATCACAACACACAATAAATCTGAAAATACAATTTATCCCAAAGTAAGTAATTTAACACACAAAAATAGGATACAATCTCACTTAAATTTCAATAAATGTGAAATAGAGAATATAATAATAGTTGATAAATTAAACGAAAGCTTGTGATTGAAGAAATATGGAATTCACTAATTACAGATCAAGAATTAAACGTATTAATGTCCTAAAAAGTAGCCTTCATAGTTTGTTGTTCCTTATTTATTGTTTTCACAAAGTCCCCCTTTTTTATAAAAGATTCCTGGTATGCCCATATACTGGGAGCTATCTATTCAAAAGGGCGAACGCTAATTAGGGCGACCATCAAAAAGACGCATATTAATTAAAGTGATCAGTAAAAAGGGCAATAAGTTCGCTTTACCCCCAGTCGCTTTGCGTATAATGGAGAGTCTACTTTCAACTATTACTGATGAATGCTATAATTTCTCAAATCCGATAATAAATTGCTATTGTTATTACCCTAGTCACGTTATCTCCAACGTCTATTTTGAACAGCTAGTATATAATCTATTAAGACAGATGTTTGTTTCATTTTGAACTCAAATCAAATATTTTGTTTCAGAACAAATAAATACAAGAAGACAAGTTGAGCGAAGAAATATTTCTTTACAATTAGTTTTTCATCAAGGGTCTACATTAATATGAGTAGAAAGTCGATACAAACTAAATGGTGGCGAGTCGGTCTAACAAAATTTTCATAATCAGTTAATCATTACAAATAGTTTCATAATTAAAACTGGATGTAAATATAAATATTTTTAAATTCACTTGGTGTTGTTTGCTTGAATCTTACAATTATTGTTTAGGACTGCAATTGATCAGTCTCTTGTCGGCATATTTGCATCCCTTGCGGATTGCCTTAAGTCACAAGCTTTATAAATATTATTTGTTGTTTGTGAAATTGATGATAAGTAATTAGTAGGGCGGGTGCAGTGGAAACTAGATAATATAATTAATAGACAGGTCACGTAATACTAGGATTAGAAATTAAAATGTTATGAAATCGAAGTTCGGAAATTTTTTTAAGAAAAGGTCAAGAAATGTCTCTAAATATGTAATGGCTTCTATATTTAAGAGTTGGATCTGTTGTGGATGCGGAAGGATAGACCAATAATTATCATGTTAAGTCCAATGGTGTCCTTGGACTTTAAATGGACATTTCCTACTGGTTGATATCTGTCCACTTGTTGAATATGGCACAAAATGTTGTTTTCTATTTTTATGGTACGATGTGGTATGTTTGGTTAGTATATAAATAGAGTGTGTCTGAAATACAATGATTCATAACTCAGAGGCTGAGATTTGTGTTCTGGACTCAACTGGCTGGGATAGACAGGGAATCGGGACCAATTGTAACTCTAGGTCGTCCATTACGTTCGTATGTGTTTACGTGTCATTGAATCGATCGATAAATACGCTGTTCTCTAGTTTTTCCAGTCAAGGACACAACAGGGTAGAAATCGACCCAACTTAATGTCAACAGGATCCTAGAACCATAGGGTGAATTCGGTGAGGTTTCGTAAACGACTTCAAACGCAGAAGTTTTATTCATGTGGTGACCAGTATCGACTGGATGCCCCAAGATAGATCTCCTTATTACTTTCTTTTGTCATTTGGTCAACCACAAAGAGTGACGTTCAGAAATAGGATGATTTATTTGTCTAGTTATGTCTATGATGATCCCACAGCGACAAAGTCATATTGTCTGTGAAGTTCTTTATTAAACAAAAATATACATTCATAGTACATCTGAGTATTAACTCTTTTAAAAAGAGGAGATCGGGATGCTAATTTCCACTTCTCGATTTTGTAACTCACTACATATGAAATTAACTGTTTTTAAAGAGGAACGTTTGTAAATACAGAGAATGCATCAAGTGATATCAAGAATTTCTGAGCGAAGTGGTAAGTCAATTTTATGTACTTTTGGTAGGCCGTGAAGTTTAGGTGTCACCGTACCTGTGGGTTTAGGTGCTTTGTTTAAGTTTTGGGCGACCACACCAGTTTCTTTCAGACCGTTTAGTGATTAAGCCAGCTGTCGTTCAGTCTTTTCTGCGGGATCGTTCTTAGAAGATAATTTCTGAAATTTACTATGACCATTGAATATTGTATCCATCTTTTTCATGTAGACTATTTTATCTATCAGAACTGTTCCTGATCATTTATCAGGTCTGGTGAGCACTAGGTTTTTAATAGTTCTTAGTTTATGTAGAGAACCTTTTTGCCTTTTGGTGTAATAATTGACTGACTATGAAAATTTACTTTAGTTCTAATCTTAATTTTCTAAACGTTATGTAACTATCTGATTATCATTTTGTTAGACCGACTCGCCACCATTTAGTTTGTATCGACTTTCTACTCATATTAATGTAGACCCTTGATGAAAAACTAATTGTAAAGAAATATTTCTTCGCTCAACTTGTCTTCTTGTATTTATTTGTTCTGAAACAAAATATTTGATTTGAGTTCAAAATGAAACAAACATCTGTCTTAATAGATTATATACTAGCTGTTCAAAATAGACGTTGGAGATAACGTGACTAGGGTAATAACAATAGCAATTTATTATCGGATTTGAGAAATTATAGCATTCATCAGTAGTAGTTGAAAGTAGACTCTTCATCATGTGCTTAAGAAAATAATAATGATTATTACCAAGTTTGCCGCTCATCATTTACATAAGTGTGAAACATGTGGATGACCGCCTAGGAGACCATGTTTTTCATCTTTGTTTCTATTCTTAGCTAACGGATTCGAAGTTGTATCACAAAATTGTGTTCACATGAATCCTGCATACTAAAAACTAAAATGGTGGTCAGTCAAAGAAACCGGTAGGATTTACATTCTTATAAATAACGTTCAAATTATTGTCAACATACATCATTTGTAAATAAGCCATGAGTACAGAATGCATTTAAAATATTCGGACCTTTTTTGTAGTCACTTAAGCTTCCCATTGATTAATTCATATCAAACCTAACTAATGTAATTTCCTCACCTATATTATTATTTCCAACTACTGATATTCAGCACTAAACCTAGCTTGTTTTGCCGATTCAGTCCTATGTATAATGAATTTTTGCTTTGAATGGTAGTTTACAATAAGAACCATAGATGAATGGAGCGTATACAGTTGCGAATTCGACTTTTCCGGAGTTTACAACAATTCATATTTCTAATGACTTTGTCACTGATCTCATAAAAATACCATGTGACCATTTGTTATTTAAACATTTTTCCATTTATTTTTGACAATTCAAATTTTCTAGTCGTTTAATGTTCAAAAAAATCCGTTTGAGAAAGTTGATCACAGAGACAACAATTCCAGTCTATCGGGAACTGTGGCATTATCAAGATTAACTAAAGGACCTTCATCAATGGCACGCATTTTTTTGTCGAACTTCAATAAACTACATCCAATTACAGATCAGAAACCAGAAGGCTCAATGTCATCTATACCGCAATCATTTACATCAGAAGAGGAAAATAATTCGGATAAATTCTATGCAACCTCTGTTTCTAATTCTAATTTAAAATCGTCAAACTGAACGTACAAACGTGTATGTATCTGTTTTTATCAATTAGTACACAAACGCCGCTTACGTCACCTATCATTATTCAACTATTTATAAAATACTTTTTCTGCTTGACGCGTTTTATTATCAATAGAGAAGCGTGTTCAGTGTTTGAAATTCACATTTTAATAAAATGGAATGCAGACTCATTTGATTAGAAAATTTTATTGCGTAAACATGACGATGGGAAGAAACTTAAGTGTATGTCTGTGTTCAAGATCAGCTAATTATTCACAATAATTATCTCGCAATAAGGATTAAAAAAACTTAGGTTTCCGTTCCGTAATTTTTGGGAATTGTTTGTATGAGTTAACAGATTAGGTGAGCACTTAGATATATGTAAACTGTCCCTACCAAGTATACTTCTGATAACCATTAGACCATCATAAAAATATATCATTTACAATCTACTTATCAGTCACATACCGACACAGATTTACGGTTTTTTAATAACCTTACGAGCTGATTTTTTTCAATCTCAACGCTACTGACGTTTAGAAGAGTGAGTATATTGATTACCAACAGTTTTGTGTGACTGGTATCAGCTTCTGTCTGGAGGTGTCATCCGCATGGACATTATTAACAAAATACTTCCCTTCATCATGCATAAATATCAACCTTTCCGAAATTGCAGTGAATGAGCATGGTTTTCTAAAGCATGATTCAAACCATTGAGAAAACCAGTACATAAATAAAAAGACCCAGTAGATTCTCAGATGACCTCTGCAAAATCATCTGCCGTACAAAGGACACTCAATATCTACAAGATATCCAGTACATGAACAATGTTATTTTGGTATAGGAAACTAGAAGCTTTAAACGAAAACCTGGTTTAACAATTATTCAGAGCGAATAATTGATTGTGAAGCAACCTAACTGATTATGGCAGATGGATGTTTTTAACTTGGGCAATCAAGCAGTGATTGACCCGGTAGACGCATGGGATAGACCGATATTATTAAGCTGTGAGGGTATACTGATTTCAGAGAAACATAACGGACATCAGTTTGATTAGTCTAGTCACGTGATATACGAACTAAGGTTCTTTCATTAATGAACGTTTTTGTTCTGAAAATCAATCCTTAGTACCTCAAAAAGTAATTCGAGTCAAACTGTTGGATCTGTGCTCAATGGTTTCATATTGATAATCTGTACAATGCTGGATGATATTGAGTACGACATGAATGTTGATGTTGAATACGGCATAAAATCATGATCTATTCAAAAATGTGAGACGCCTATCATGTGTTCTTTGGATTCAATGGCATACGTGTTGATCTCAGTTGATAATGTAAACTGTTAATTATCAGTTCGATTACGTATATCAGAACAAAAACGGGACTATAAAATATATTATTGATACTACCAAGCGTGCAGAAAACATTAATCGTTGCATATTATGTGGATGAAGTACGGCTAATAGTTAGAGAATTCAAGGCGAAGCAATAAATGAATATATGATAAATTGTAATAAAGCAATTACAGAAGTAAAAATGACTAATAAATATGTTGATGATAAAGAAAAAACGTAATTTCGTCTGATAACTAAGTTGATAAATGAAGTTCCTTCAAGAACAATACTAGCTTGATCGGTCCTCGGTTATGATTTTATTAGTTGCGAATTGTTGACTTTTAATTTCTCTATTTATCTGATTACAAAATGATAAAAGGAAAATGGAGATAAATGAATTCACAAATACACTAAATTTCGTTGCAAAATTAAATTCACTAATAGCAATACTTTGTCGCGGAAACGAATATGATATGACTGAATACGTGAATATCACTGCATCAGTAAGGATACAGACAACAGTATGATTTTCAATATGAGATAATCCGTATTTCATCGTCATTTGAAAACGTAAACAGCTTAAAATTTATTAGTATTTATTAAGTTCTACTGTTTTGTCTGTTGTAGAGTATCAACATCAAAGCTTATACTACGTCCCACTGACAGTAGGAACAAAACATGATGCATACAGTTCACCTAGTATGACACCATGAAAATGTTAGTGTGTATTTATCGTTTAGAGTAACAATGCTTGGATGATCTTCACTCAAGTTAGAGCAACGTTTATGTGTTCAGCTGCATATGTTATATGGTCAATTATGAGTTTATAAACGTTTATCTTTTGTTTTGTTAATCATAGCTCCATTCAATATGAAGTTACCTCAGTTCAGACTGAATGGTTCCTCTTCCCTTTCATTTTTCATTATGTACTATGCACTAAAAATGCTCATATGGCATTGTGGAAAATATTTTCTCTTTTATCATCACTCCAGACCGTTGCTATGTTGATAATTTACATAATAGTGTAAGTAAATAATCAAGATTATCGACACTAGCTACTGAGACTAAACTAAGATCTTCAAGGTTGGTATGATATCAAGAAAGGTTGAAGTTTTTGATTTCACTATTGAAACTGTGGTATGAATAATCTGGAAATAAAACAAATAACCGCTTAACTCAGGCTGATTTTCAACTTCCTATAGCTGGAAAATATCTATCATCTTGATTAAGTTTGAATTATTTTATTATGCCATAAACATTCATTTTTCTATCAAGTTTAACACAGAAGTCAATAAATTCTGTCACAGAGTAAAGTTTGATAAACCTTCATAGCTAAAAGTTCCGTGGAAACCTATACATCATCAATATATGTGTTAATCCACAGAGGTGAAACCTTACAGAAGTCACATCTACTTACAACATTAATTTAGGTACTGTTTGTACTTCTCGGGCACGTTACGATAATTTAAAAAAAATAAACTTCACAGAAAAAAGGTAAATAATTTATGGGTTTTCAACAAATGATACATATTAGGAAGCGTTACTTTAAGAAGGCTTTCGTTGATTGCAGTGAGTTCAAATTGTAAATCTTGAACGAGCTTCGCCACTGATTTAGGAGTTTTTATTATTTCAATGCTTTGTGTGTAAGGGTTATAATGAACACCGAATGGTCGCTTAATAGTGCGTACAAATTCTCTGAAAAAGTTAATGAATGAGAATCATGTTTATTACTACAGAGAGTTGAATTGCTTCATCTAATATAATTTTTTTATCATTATCAAAATACAACTTCGTTACAAATAGTAATGTAAACCGATTCTGAACTTAAAACGTAAACATTCTTTAAAAGTGTATAAGTTTCAGCTATGATAAATGAGGCTATCATAAGACTCCATCAGGTTGAAACTGTCTAAAGATTATTAAATCGTGAATTATGTACAGATTGCTTCGTAAGATTAACTAAGGTGTCTATGATTCTTCTCTCTCATCGACTACGAATCGTCGCCTGCAAGTCAGACATCTAGAGTCAAGCTTTAGTTTTACCTTTAGGGAATCCTGTTTTCTTCAAATATATTATGGAATAGAATTCAGCTTTCTGTTATTTTTGTTGGGGTCCGCGTGACCAATGGTTGGAGACTCTGGGTGACATAGATCAGAATCGATCAAAATGGTGTCAGTGTATACACTCTGTCTTCCCTTAAACTTAGGGATTAAGATTGCTTCATATCTTTCTTTCTACGAACTAATTCTTTCTTCCTGTACTATATCCTTATTGCAATCTTTCTTCTATATATTACCACCTCTGAATTACCTACTTTTATGAATCCGGTGTCCATATTGTTGTGTTAATGAGGTATGACAACTTCGATCGATGCATATATGTGCCTGGTCCTACGTTGTACCTGACTGAGTGACTGTTGTGACAAATGTACGATAAGGATCGAAACATACTTTCTTCATTATTTCGAGTTTCAAATAAGAGTGATTCTAATAAACATTAGTATTATCTTGTCGGAAGTATTATGTTTGGTTGCTTTTTTAAAACACTTTCCAGGAAAGGTTACTTGAAAGGAGTTTTATGAATCCACAAAATTGTGAATAAAAAGTCAAAATGGTTTCTTAATTTTATTTCAGTTTTCAATAAAGTCAGCAGCTTGTTGTCCCTCTTCTAAAGAAATACTTTTTTTTTACTTTCGTAGTAAAATAAACGATCGAGGGTGAGTTGAAGAGATTAATTGTGCTTTAACTTTTGTCAGCGAATACCAAAGTATGAACTTGTCAGAGAACTTAATTGTGAAATCTCATCTGCTCGATTTGTGAGAAATGTTTCCTAAGCTCTATCTTTTCTCTTTCCAAAACCATTGATCAAGTAAATATACAGCGAATAAACAGTGAAATTCATTGTTAATTCCGGTACTTTCGTTCACTGATTTACGATGTTTTAGCAACATATAGCTAAATATCTTGGTTACACATAATCCACCAGTATCTGGATCGTACTGTAAAATACAACTGGTTTAAACTCGATGAACAGGAAGAGAAGAAAGTAGGTACATTCAGTTTGATAATATCTCCGTACCCATCGGAATCACAACTGAAAATTGTGTTACAGCTTTCATTATGCACTACAGACTACCTTTGTCAAACAAAGGTAATTGGAATAGTGAACGATAAAGAGTTCGCGAATTTCACTCGGTAGCTATTAAAATATGTGAATTGGTTTTTATCCATGCAATGGTCACTAAAGAAAACGTGACATTTAGATTTTAGTGAGTAATTAATCAGAAAATGTTTTGTGGAGATTTTTAGAAATTTCACAAGTTGGTGGTCTAGCTTCAATTGACTCATGATTTCAACTTGTGAAATTTCTAAAAATCTTTACAAAACACTTTCTGATAATAATAATCCCCTGCTCACTAGTGACTGACTTCAGGAGACACTCCTAGAGTTCTAGTGAGAAGTCGTTACCAATGGAGTTCAACCAGGTCTGTTGTGAGATAGTAACTCACTGAAGACAATGGTGTACGTTGGTGCAACTTCGTGGATTGGTTGAAGTTAGAGATTAACACCGTTGGATGCCGGTTCAGTGGTCTAATGGTTAAGTGCTCGCGCGCGAAACCAGTAGGTCCTGGATTCGAATCCCACGAGGTGCGGGGTCGTGGATGCGCATTGTTGAGGAGTCCCATGATAGGACGAAACGACCGTCCAGTGATTCCAGGTTTTCCATGGTGGTCTAGCTTCAATTGACTCATGATTTCAACTTGTGAGTAATTAATGCCAAAGAAAATATTGCGTTTTATCTGCAGACCATCGAGATGGCATTGAAAAATGTTTGCACATACTTAGTTTAATTTTTGAAATTTCAGTCTAATGAGTAAATCTTCATTTAATTCAAAAATGTTGAATTTAATCAATAAAAACTTGCCTCATTTGACGTGTTGCATCTTCAAACGAAGAAGTTTCGAAATATCCGTTTTGAAAAGTCGTAACAAGGCATTCTTCGTTAATAACTTCCATTGGTATGAATGGTTTAATCACAGCTTTGTCACTTAAAGCATGCTGTTATAAAGGAATGGAGAAGTGTAGGTGATACTACGTTCTTTATGGGGTTTCACTAAATGTTAAAATGTCAGATATGTAAGAATCATCTAAAGTAAATTATTGTATGATCGTGAGAGTATCTGATTGCAAACCCTAATCCGATTTCTCAAAAACTACTTAAAACTAAGGGATAGACAAAAGCTAAAAATTTCATCCTCCTAGAGAGGTGTAGGACATTTACCTGTCTATCACTCATGGTGTTATAATTTTTGTTTTAGTTAGATATCTGACATGGTTATTTTATATCAACAAGACTCAAGAAGACAGTTTACTTATGCGACTGAATCATAGTTCATTCGTATTTTATACTGTCTCGTTTTATACCGTCATCCTCAGACTAATGTTTTCAATAAACAAATTCTGTATCATCACAACATAAAATTTAAGTAGTTCTGAATATTACTGATTGGTTAATCCTTCGAAAACACAGAACACATCTGACATCAATGTGTCCTTGAATAAAATAACAGTGGTGAGCTATAAATTTAAAAACTTAATTTTACGTACCTGTAGTTCAGCAACAGATGAGAGCAAACCGGCACCATAAGCTTTCAGTTGGTTATCTTGTCGACAGAGACCAAATTCAATGGTGAAGAAGTAGCACTATTTCGTTTTAAATGAGAGAAATAGTTAACTTCTCATTATAAATGGAAATTCATGAATCATGTAATGAAATCACAATGACTACCGACTGAAGAAACTCACCAAGTTTTGTTAGACACATCATAATATTTTTACCTTAATCCGAACAAATCACTATATGTTACTGGATAGTAAATGTAAATAAGCAGAGAAATTCATGTTGCTAGTTGTGCACAAAATACAGGTTCAACAAACTAAAACATAAAGTCATAGATTGATGAAAGACAAGCTCCACCTTTGAACCACATCAGTGTTTATCCATAAGTTTAACTGCTCTTATAGATCATGTTAACTCCGCAAGTAGCTCTTCTAGAGGTACTGTTGGTCCCAAGGAGGGTCGAACATGTGGTCGGCAACCCCAACCCGTAGAAAACAACCTTGCTAAAAAATGCCAATCAGATTAAACAAATTAAACCATTTAAAGTCTGTCCTGGGAGTCGAAGGAATAATTATGACGCCTCAAGATCAAAGCCGAGATTCTTCGGAAGTCACGAGACCGATGCCCCTTCTAACAACCAGAGCAAAAATTTTTATAGGTACATGTAACCTAGAAGGACCAGTCAAATAGCAACAGAAATGAAAAGATACAACTTGACAGTACTCGGATTCAGAGAAACCCATTACACCCAAGCTGGACAGCAAAGACTAGATATGGGAGAGATGCTGCTGTACTCGGGTCACGAAGAAGAAAATGCTCAACACACTCAGGGAGTTGTTCTGATGCTGTCCAAAGAACCACTTAAACGCTTATAGGATAGGAATTTCATGGACTCAGGATCATCAAAGCATCCTTCAAAATAAAGAAAGAGGGAATAACGATGAATGTTATCCGATGTTATGCACCCACCAATGATAGCAACGACGACGATAAAGTTCAGTTCTATGAAAGGCTGCAATCAATCACAGAGAAGTGCCAAAGAAAGGAATTCGCCATCCTGATGGGAGACTTAAACGCCAAAGTCGGAATGAACAAGACCTAATATGATAATATCATGGGACGACATGAAATCGGATAGAGAAACGAAAATGAGGAGAGATTTGCATACCTATGTGAATTCAACGAGTTGGTTGTAGGTGGCACAATATTTCCACACAAATGCATATACAAAGCTACATGTGTCTCCCTGGATCACAGCACAGGTAGATCATATTTGTATCAATAAAATATTCAGAAGGACAATGAAAGAACTAAGAACCAGGTGAGGATCTATCATAGCTTCAGATCACCACCTGGTGGTTGCCAAGATGAAAATGAAGCTAAACAAACGATGGATAGCTGGGGAAACTGCAGTACAAAGGTTCTATACAGCCTTCCTTTGAGATACTGACAAATTCAACGAATTCAAGATAACTTAACAACAGGTTCGAAGACTTGCAGTATCCACTAAAAAAAGAAACTACGATGAAGGACAACTGGTAAGGGATCAAAGAAGCACCGAATTCAACGTGTCAGGAGGTGCTGGGCCGCAAGAAGTATCATCACAACGAATGGATCTCTATCGAAAACCTAACAGTGACGGCGGAAAAAGCTACAAGGGAAGGAAATATGAGACAGCTGTATGACACAATGGAGAAACTAGCAGGGAAAGATAGTAAAACAGAGAGGCCAGTCAAGGATAAGGAAGGCAGGCCAATCACCGAAACTCAAAAACGTAGGAACATATGGGTAGAATACGTCGAGGAACTGTTGAACAGACTACCTCCATCGAATCCAGCGAACATCGAAGCAGCACCCACAGAAATTCCCACATACGTCATTCCATCAAAGACGGAAGCAATCAGTAAGGTCATCGGATAAATCAAGAGCAGGACCTGACAATATACCAGTCGAGAAACCAAATTCACACAAAGAAGCAACTGCAAACATGATTCACGTTCTATTCACGAAGATTCTAGGAGGAAGAATAAGTGCCACCGATAGACTGGAAATAAGGATATCTCATCAAGATACTAAAGAAACGAGATCTGAGCAAATGTGAGAACTAGAGAGGAATCACACCATTATCGCTACTTGAAATACTTTTTCAACAGAGCGTTACTGAACCGGATGAAAAATTCAGTAGACGGCCAACTTCGAGATCAACAGACCAAATCGCGACAGTACGGATCATTGTTGACCAATCAATTGAATGGAACTCACCACTATACATCAACTTTCTTGACTTTGAAAAAGCATTTGACAGCATGGATAAAAGAACCTTATGGAATCTTCTTTGACACTATGATTTACCTGAGAGGATCGTTAACATCATCCAGAATTCATACGACGGACTGCATGGCAAAAGTTTTGCATGGGATCAGCTGACAGATGCATTTCAAGTAAGAGCCGGGGTCAGGTAAGGCAGTCTACTCTCCCCATCCTCTTTCCTCTGATGGTTGAATGGATTATGAAGGCCTCGACATCTGAGTGGGAGCACGGAATACAATCGACAGTTCGGAACCAATTAGAAGATATGTACTTCGCACATGACCTGGCCCTTCTATCCCACACACACGAATAAATGCAGATGAAGACAACTAGTGTAGCATCAGCGTCTGAGTCAGTGGGTCTCAGCATACACAAGGGAAAAAGTAAGATCCTCAAATACAATACGGAGAACACCAACCTAATCACATGTGATGGAGAAACTCTGGAAGAGGTGAAATCTATCACGTACCTGGGAAGCATCATCGATGAACAAGGAGGTTCCGATACGGACGTAAAGGTGAGGATTGGCAAAGTAACAACCACATTCCTACATATGAAGATCATATGGAACTCAAAACAACTTTCAACCAATATCAAAGTCAGAATCTTCGATACAGAAGTCTAGACAGTCCCACTGTATAGAGCTGAAACGTAGTGAACTACTACAACCATCATCAAAAATGTAAAAGTATTTATGAATAGTTATCTAAACAAGGTACTGAATGTTCGCTGACCGGATATCATCAGCAACAACCAACTGTGGGAGAGAAAAAACCAGCTTCCAGTTGGAGGGGGAATTAGGAAAAGACGTTGTAAGAGACAGACATTTACCTTAGACAATGGATGAGTGGTTGTGCTAGATCATGGATCGATTGAATTTAGTCATTAACACCTGCTCAGTGGTCTACAGTTTAAACGTTTATGTGCGAGTCCGGAGGTCCTGGGTTCAAGTCGCGCATGCGGGTTCGTACATGTGCACTACTGAGGAGTCCCATACCAGAAAGAAATGGCCGTTCAGTTCTTTCAGGTTTTCGATGATGGTCTACCTTACATCGACTCATGAATTCAGCTATTAAAATTACTGCAATCTCCACATACCCCCCATTCCATTATAAAACCACTTAATTATTCTGTTCTTCAGACTTGTGAAGTGAATAATTATCTCTCGTCTACAAACCATTTTCAACTTAACGTTTTCCAACTAGCCAATACGTCATTTCGCAACCTCCATTGAATGTTTGGTGTTCCCAGATAATTTACAAATCAATCTAAGAGAGTTCACTATATATATGAATATATTTATAAATGTATGGCTTAAATAAGTTATATCATCGAAAAGAAAATACTCTTCCCCTAATTTTTTTATTTCTTCAATCAAATGCAACCTTTGACTTATAACAAGTCCGTTATATTAGTGTATATAAATTACCACACTAGTCTGTTATATCTAAGGTGTATTTCAGAAGATGATTCATCTATTTAAATGAAACTGACTTAAATAACTGATGAGCATCATTCCATTTCAAAATACATTGGATAATCGATTGTTCAAAACGTTTGTCCACCTGAAGGCAACTAATATACCTTGTCGGTATAAGTAGGAAAATCAAAATCGAGTCTCAAAACCTTCATTAACTCTTTGTTCTGGATTCATTTTTTTATATAAATCTGTATTCCTTATCCACTCAATTATAGATTTAGTGGTCAAAAAACTGTATACATAGGCTAACAAATTCAATAATTGGTTTGTGGAAATTTCGTAAATTAAGACTGCCATACAGCACTCGGGCTTCTCAGAAAAAGACATACAGTGGCTAATTTCTTTATTTCTTCGTCACTTGTACCCAAAGAAGCCAAGCCAATCTCTTGTGAAAATCGTGCAAACTTTGGATCAGCTAACATAGGTACATGACCCAACAGCTCATGGCAGCAGTCACTGAATTTAAAAAACAAACCGAAATCAATGAATTATTAATTGGAAAACGATTAATTACTTAATAACATGAGTTAAGTATAATTGGCCAATAATCCGTCCCACTTTAATACAGGTTGGTGATATTTATTTTGAACCTTCGTGGTAGTCATGTAAATGATTTACGAGCCCCGAATAAGAGATTAATTTTTTCATTATTCGATTACTTGAAAGAAAATTATCGACTGATGTCTAGTGTTCAGCGCCATATCTTTCCAAAGCCATACCTAACGTTCATTTTTCAGCCTTTCTATCAAAGTCCTTCGAAAATTCAGACATTTATATAATTTTTGGAATCGTATTCAAACAGTAAAAACCTCCAACAAAAATAACATTATTTGAGGTAGGTGTTTTGAGTTTTATAAAAAGCTAAGGAGAGTTTTACTGCACTGAAATTGACCATATCAAGAAATTTTGAGTCGTTTTCTACCACAGCCGAGACAAGTTAGAGATTATTGAAATGCTAACATTCTCTTTTCATCATCTACAGTATCGTTTCGAGATCTTGCTCGATGACAGAAGTACAGTAAAGATATCTGCATCATCATTTTTCAAACAAAAAATAAAAACCAGACATTTAAAATCGTCAACTGCCATTTTTATTAATTTTAATTCTCCCATAATCTTTACTGACTTTGCCGGAATATATTAAATATTCATCAGAAAGAGTTTTAGTCATTCGAAAACGCTGGTATTGTATATCACCGAAAATTTGAGACAAAGTGCTTATTGTAACGTTAAATTCAAAGTCACAATAATTGTTTGAAGAGGTGAAAATTACATATCTGTGGTGGTAGATGTATCATCAGCTGTGGAATATTCAACCCGTAAAATGCCTGCATATCAGTTGAACTATAAAATAAATGTAAGGCAGGAGAAATCATCATAGTTAGTTTCTTGCATAACAAGTAATACTTTTAGATTCATCAGGTCAAACTGTTGATTTCGAGTCAACAGATAACTTTTGGGTCAATGAAGAGACAAATTTCAGTTAGGCAGCTTGGTATCGAGGATCCTTAAATTACAGAATCTGTAAGGACCCAAAGTAAATAACTTTGTAGAGTAGCATCATTTTCAGTCGCTACGACTGAGTCGACTAATGAGTTAAGGAGATCTTCAGTAGCAACACATGTGTCGGAAACCATATGAATAATTTTCTCAGTAACTCAAATGTCACTTGGACTTGGGATTGCCGGAACACATCACCGGACTTATGACTACGAACAATTATTGTTAAGCAAAAATAAGACGATGAAAAAAATGAATAAATGATCTACGCTGACTGATCCAGAAGCGGTACAAATTATTAAATAAGATCCTTCCAACCAGACAGCGGTCGAAATTCGGAATAGGAAAATTTCTACTTCATAGCCTAATGACTTAAAATGTTAAGCTCTAATGCCTCCACTTTCTATTATTTATATATTATAATCACCACAGTGACTTATTCTTCTATCTATCTGGTTTAAAATAATTCATTTGACGATAAGAGTTTCAGCTTTTCCTATAAAGTCTGAATAGTTCCAAGTATTTACTCACATGGGACTTGAGGGAAATATACAAATATTTTTTAAGGCTTAATTATATCTGGAAATAAAACCACAGACAAAACAAATAACTTACGGTTCTGGTGTATAAAATGGATCAGCCTGGTGGCGTATATATTGAGTGCAATAGAACACGCGAAATGCCAAACCTGACAGGAAATCACGTGCAGACAGATAGCCTGCAACTGGTCGGAGACAAAATCCTGTCCGTGCTTTATAATTGCAAAATTCAAAAAAGAATAATTTTCCGTATTACTGTGAGAATTTGTATAGTAACTTCAAGAAAATCTATGATGAAATAATTCATTAGTTCAAGCTATTTTTGAAAGACAATTCGTCGATTTATAGCTTACAGATAAAAATTGACTGGATCGTAAATTTTCTTTGAAGCTTTAGAAATCCATAAGTAAGATGCAACGAATTACAAAAACCGAGAAGAAGATAAATATTCAGAAACTGTAAATTATCTTCTTCGGCAGCACAACTAAAGTGGTGTCTCCTCGACTAAGAGAATTGAGGTGGTCATAATAATTTTTGTTTTATTACTCTTT